CCATCTTCTTGAAGCCAGCAATTGTGCATGTAGTTCTTCACAAACTTCAAATTCCTCTCATGAGTCACTTTTCTCTCGCCACTTTCAAGATTGTCTCTTTTGAGAATAATAAAGTATCTAAGAATAAATCTAACAAAGGATGTGCATAGCCTATATGCTAAGAATTATAAACGTTTACTTAAAGTCATTAAAGAAAACCTGGACAAATGATGAGAAAGTGCAGTACAGTAAAGATGCCAACCATTTCTAAATAGACCTGCTGACTCAATGCATCTCTAATCAAATGCCAGCTAGAGGTTTCAGTGACACTTGACAAACTAATTCTACAATTTATACGTAGGTGTAGAAAGCCAAGAATAGTTAAGACATTCACTATGCTACCAGATATTTGGGTTTATTATGAAGCAGGGATAATTTAGACACTTTGCTATATGAGCGAGAAGACAAAACAGATACAGTGGGGAAAATTGGGGGGAGCTATTCAATAATAAATGGAGTTTGGCAAACTGGTTATTTATATGTAACTGAGAAGTAGATCTTCAGTTCATAAAAATATACCTCCAAAGGGTTAAGAATTAAATGTCAAAAGTGTTAATCTAAATGTCAAAATGTAAAAAAGTTCTGGTTGGGCACGGTGGCTCATGCCTGTAATCCCAGAACTTTGGGAGGCCGAGGTGGACCAATCACTTGAGGCCAGGAGTTCAAGACCAGCCTGGCCGATATGGCGAAACCCCATCTCTACTAGAAATACAAAAATTAGCTGGGTATAGTGGCACATAGCTGTAATCCCAGCTACTTAGGAGGCTAAGACACGAGAATTGCTTGAACCTGAGAGGCAGAGGTTGCAGTGAGCCAAGATCATGCCACTGCACTCCAGCCTGGGCAACAGAGCACGAGACCCTGTCTTAAAAAAAAAAAAAAGTCAAAGAGTTCTGCCTTTTTAAGCCAAATAATGAAAATGTAGTTTGTAATTATAACATATGTAGAAGTGAAGTGGCATGACAGCAGACAGCAGTATCACAGAGGCCAGGAGTGGGGATATGAAAGTATACCATTAAAAGATTTTTACACATTATGCAAAGTGATATCATAATAGTTGAAGACAGACTATGATAAGTAAAGCCATGTACCGTATGTTATATACTGTATGTTATATGCCCTAGAGCAACCACCAAAAAAAAACCAAAACATAAAACTCATGCACATACACGTGCAAATCCCAAAACAGTGAAAAGAACTATAGCTAAAAAGCTAACAAATGGACAAAATGGAATGATAGAAAAATAATAAATTCATTCAAAAGAAGGCAGAAAAACAGATACATAGGATGGTAGATTTAAACCCTAATATATCAATAATCATTAAATATAAGTCTAAATTAAAAAGCATAGATTATCAGATCAGATTTAAAAACAACCAGCTGTACATTGCTTATAAGAAACCCAGCTTACATGTAATAATATAATAGCTTAAAAGTAAAAGGACTGCCAGGTGCAGTGGTTCATGCCTTAATTCCAGCACTTTGGGAGGCCAATGCAGGTGGATCACCTGAGGCCAGTCCTGGCTAATTTTTGTATTTTTAGTAGAGATGAGGTTTCGCCATTTTGGCCAGACTGGTCTCGAACTCCTGACCTCAAGTGATCCATCCGCCTCGGCCTCCCAAAGTGCTGGGATTACAGGCATGAGCCACCGTGCCTGGCCTAATTTTTGTATTTTTAGTAGAGATGGGGTTTCACCATGTTGGCTACGCTGGTTTCAAACTCCTGGCCTCAAGTGATCTGCCTGCCTTGGCCTCCCAAAGTGCTGAGATTACAGGCATGAGCCGTCGTGCCCGGCAGACATAAGACTTTAAAATAAATGTCTTAAAAAATGCTCAAGGAGAATACAGACAACTAAACAAAATCAGGAAAACTATATATAAAGAAAATGAGGCCGAGCGCAGTGGCTCAAGCCTGTAATCCCAGCACTTTGGGAGGCCGAGACGGGCGGATCACTTGAGGCCAGGAGTTCAAGACCAGCCTGGCCAACATGGCGAAACCCCATCTCTACTAGAAATACAAAAACAGCCGGCAAGGTGCGGGCGCCTGTAGTTCCCAGCCTTACTCAGGAGGCTTGAGGCAGAAGAATGGCCTGAACCCAGGGAGGCAGAAGCCTTGCAGTGAGCCCAGATTGCGCACTGCATCCAAGCTGGCCGACAGAGCGAGACTCGTCCTCAAAAAAAAAAAAAAAGAAAGAACAAAGATAAAGAAAATGGGGCCGGCACCGGTGTGCTCATCTCTGATAATCCACAGCAACTTTGGAGGCCAATGGCGGCAAGTCACTAAGGTCATGAGAATCAAAGACCCATCCCTGCTAACACAGTGAAACCCTGTCTCATTTAAAATAAAAAAAAAACTTAGCTGCTTTGGTCGGCGCCTGTAGTCCTCAGCTACTCGGAGCTGAGCAGGAGAATGGTGTGCCCCGAGGGTCGGATCTTACATGGAGCCAAGATCACGCCACTGCACTCCAGCCTGGGCAACAGAGCGAGCTCCATCTCAGGGATGGAA